TCAAATGGGAACCACCTGTGACTCCCTCATAGTTCCAGACCCTCCCTCTATCTACTCCTTGACACAGTCTGGAAAACCATCTACCTTAAATACTTCCCCTGACAGATCCAGTATCCTCAGTCCTTAGTATGTACTAAGTACTGGTTGTGCCCAGTAACGGTCCGCGGCTGTAAATCTTTATGGAAGTAGATTGCCTCAACTTCCTCTCATGGAGCAGCTGGTGGGTTTGAACCACAGACCTTCTGGTTAGCAGCCAGATACCTTATCCACTATGCCACCAGAGCTCCTTAAGATCTGAATAGTCCTTCATAATTGTTGTTATGTGCCGTCGAGTCATCTCCGACTCCTAGCGACCCCTCCTTGGGTTTCTGAGGTGATATCACTACGGAAGTAGATTGCCTAACCTTCCGAGGAGTGGCTGGTGGGTTTGAACTGCCAGCCTTCTGGTTAGCATCAAGTACCTTAGGCAGTATGCCACAATACAGATAATAAATTGTTGTTGTTGTTATGTGCCCTCGAGTCAAACCCGACTCATAGCGACCCCTCCTTGGGTTTCCGAGGCAGTATCACTACGGAAGTAGGATTGCCCAACCTTCCTTCCGAGGAGTGGCTGGTGGGTTTGAACCACCAGCCGTCTGGTTAGCAGGCAAGTGATAATAAATTAGTAGGTAAAAATATTCCTATAAAGAAAAACAACATAACTAGATGGATTTACAAATACACTCGAATTTAATACTCAAAAACATAAAATTACTCTTATCCCTCCCAGGTGGGAATGCTGTGGCTGAGGAAGGTCAGGGAAGCACCTGGTACTCGGGCTTCTGTGTGGCTCCCTTGTGGTGCTGAGATGCCTAAGAACACAGGGCCAGTGACTAAGGCCAGTGGAAAGTCCTGTGGCAGCCAAAATAACAAGTCAAAGCAAGGAACAGAGGGACTACTTCCTTCTTTAGGTCCGGTGGCAGTTGGTCTTAAAGTTTGTGTCCCCATAGCCATCCATGCCAAAGAAAATGCTGTAACAGATGTGACAGCTGATGCCATAAATAGAGTTATGGCAGCACCTCCGTCAGAAGGCAAAGCTAATGCTGATCTCAGCAGCTCTCTTTCCCATGTCTTAGAACTCAGGAAGGGTGATGGGTTTTGGATAAACGTGGTTGTGAAAAGTGGTGAAGTTTCTGGCCTCCACAATTCCAGAAGAGCTCTTAGAGAAATTGCAAAAGCAAGCTGAAAATAAATAGAGGTAAGAAATGAAAAAGAAGGTTGTTGTTAGGTGCCGTCGAGTCGTTTCTGACTCATAGCGACCCCATGCACAGCAGAACAAAACACTGCCCGATCCCGCGCCAGCCCCACATCCCTGCTATACTTGAGCCAATCATTGCAGCCACCATGTCATTCCATCTCGTTGAAGGCCTCCCCCTCTTTCATCGACCCTACCAAGCATGACATCCTTCTCCAGGGAATGGTCCTTTCTGACAACATGACCAAAATAGGTGAGATGAAGTCTGGCCATTCTTGCTTCCAAGGAGCATTCTGGCTGCACTTCCTCCAGGACAGATCTGTTAGTTCTTTTAGCAGTCCACGGTACTTTCAGCATTCTTCGCCAGCACCACAACTCAAAAGCATCAACTCTTCTTTGGTCTTCCTTATTCATTGTTCAGCTCTCACATGCATACGAGGCGATTGGAAATATCATGGCTTGTGTCCAGCGCATCTTAGTCCTCAAGGAGATATCCTTGCTCCTCAGCACTTGAAACAGTTCCTTCTTTTTCAATTTTATTTCAAAGATTGTTTCAAATTCCAATCTTGCACAATTTCTTCCTGAGAATAGAAAGAGCAAGAACATTTCTCAATGGACTTTATGAGGTTAGCAGAATTTGAACACCAAACGCAGACAAAGACAGTATAAGAAAGGAAAATTACAGACCAATATAATTTATAAGAGGTATAAACATTAAAAGTATTAGTAAGATCAATGCAGCAAAATATTTAAAAAATATTCAATAACCAAGTTGGGTTTATCTATCACAGGAATGAAAGTAATCTTTGTTGTTGTTGTTAGGTGCTGTCAAGTCAGTTCCAACTCACAGCGACCTTATTTACAACAGAACAAAACACGCCTGGTCCTGCACCAGCCTCACAATCATTGCTGTGCTTGAGCCTATCGTTGCAGCCACTCTGTCAGTCCATCTCATTGAGGGTGTTTTTCTTTTTTGTTGTTGTTTTTCCCCCTGCTTACCCTCTACTTGATGGATTGACACAGTGGCAGTGGTGATGGACTCAAGTATAGCATAGGGATCGTGGAGCAGGCGCCGGAGTGGGTGGTGTTTCGTTCTGCTGTGCATAAGGTCGCTATGAGTCGAGACGCCTCAATGGCACCTAACAACAACAACAACCCCTCTACCTTACCAAGCATGACATTATGTCCTTCTCCAGAGATTGGACCCTCCTGATAACATGTCCAAAGTGAGATGAAATCTCACCATCCTTGCTTCTAAGGAACATTCTGGCTGTATTTCTTCCAGGAGAGATTTGTTTGTTCTTCTGGCAGTGTTGTTGTTGTTGTTATGTGCCGTCTAGTCGGACCCGACTCACAGCGACCCCTCCTTGGGTTTCCGAGGCAGTATCTCTATGGAAGTAGATCTGGCAGTGTATAGGACAGTCAATACTTTTTGCCAGCATCGCAAATCAAAGGCATCATTCTTCTTCAGTCTTCCTTATTCATTCATTGTCCAGCTTTCACATGCAATGAACTGAACCATTGCTTGGGTGATGAACACCTTTGTCTTCAAAGTGACATCTTTGAGTCAAAATAACCTTCAGTATATAAGTTTAAGCAATTCAGCAAATTAATATAAAACAAAACAAATAGATGGTTATCTCAACAGATAATAGAACAAGTGACAAACATTTATTCATGGTGGAATGTCAGGAGAGAAAACTGCTGGGGATAAAAATTTGTGTATGTACAAGTATGTTGTTAGGTGCTCTGGAGTTGGTTCTGACCCACAGCAACACTATGTGCAACAGAATGACACATTGCCAGGTCCTGCACCATCCTCACAATATTTGCTGTGCTCATTGTTGCAGCCACTTTGTCAATCCATCTCATTGAGAGTCCTCCCCTTTACTGTGAGTGATATCCTTCTCCAGGGACCGGTCCCTTCTGACATGACCAAGGTACATGAGATGAAATTTGGCCATTCTTGCTTCTAAGGAGCACTCCAGCTTTACTTCCTCCAAGATAGATTTGTTTGTTCTTTTAGCAGTCCATTGTGTTTTCGGTATTCTTCACCAACAACACAATTCAAATGCATCAATTCTTGGTCTTTATTTATTGTTCAGCTGTCACATGCATTTAAGGTGTTTGAAAATACTATGGCTTGGGTCGGGGACAGCACTCCTCTGTCAGTTTGCTGCACTGTGGTATCTCGCATGTTGCTGTGATGCAGGAAGCTATGCCATCAGTATTTCAAATACCAGCAGGGTCACCCACTGGACAGGTTTGAGTGGAGCTTCCAGACTAAGACAGACTGGGAAGGACGGGACCATCCACATCTAAAAATATTACCCATTGAAAACCTTATTCATAGCAATGAAACATTGTCTGATACATAGAGTACAAATATAGAGAGATTTTTAAAAGCATATTATCAGTTACAGGTGATGTTACAGTGTGGGGCTAGAGGATTCTTAAGATGGACAGGAGTTAGGGCTTTCTGAGATGGAGCAACAGAATTGAAAATATGAAGCAGCCATGAGGAATTCAGAAGGAAGTGTTGAAGACAAAAGCAACAGCAAGTGCAAAGGCCCTGAGGTGGTCCTTTCAGGCATAGGCTCAGTGAGGGCTCTTTAATGCCTTGCAAAACTGGCATCATAACCTTTTTTTTACAGGCTAGGAGGCTTAGTCTCCCAGAGTCTACCCAGAGCAACCCAGTTTAGGCCAGTGTGCGTCTTGTAGGAAGGATTCTGAGACAATGGTGCCCTCTGCTGGCCATATGTTCTCTCCACTGCCAACAATAATAATGCCAGCTCTGACGATTAGTTGTTTAGTAAAGCAGGTAACGGAAAAGGAGGGAAACCCTCAATAGGATGGATTGACACAGTAACTGCAACAGTGGACTCAAACATACCAGTGATCATAAAGACGGCACAGGACCGGGCAGTGTTTCATTCTATTATACACAAGATCTCCAGGCTGAGCTGACTCGACTGCAATGAACAACCACCACTATTATTAATGGCAGTGCTCCGTCAGGCTGTGACCTATCCTCTCTCACTTCTAAGCAGCATGGAGGCTGGCACTATAGTAGGAATACAGTAGGACAAGTAGGTGTACAATAAATGAATGAATGAAGGAAGGAATGTGGCCAGGTTCTGAGACACAACCTCCCCTCTGTAAATCTAGGATCTCTTTTTTCGATACACTAATCTTTATTGAACACCTACTATGTGCAAGGTCCTGTTCTAAGTTCTTGTGACGAGCTAAGACAGAAGTCCTTGCCCTCACAGAGCTCACATTCTTAGGAGGCTGACAATGAATAAAGTAACTAACAAATATATGTGTAAAATGTAAATCTGTACATTGCGATAAGTAGTCCTTGGCCTCTCTAAGATGACCTTCAACCTGAGACCTGGACGACGAAATGGGGATTGCTAAGGATAAAGGGTTCCAAGAAAGGCCCTGAATCAAGATGCAAGGGGTGTGTGAAGGTAGAGACTGACGCAATCTTCACAATACGCTTATGCAGAGATCTGCCTCATTTGATGGAGGAGAAAATGATGGCGCAGAGAAGATTTGGTTGTACAGCAAGGATTCGAAAACAAGACAATTGCATTCTGCACGGTAACGAGCTGCAAGTGACAGAGACCCGGGCGACCAACGGGTGCGAGCGCACAGCAACCGTTGTCATGGTTTCCCTGACGCTCTCAGCACTGGTCGACTGGCGTCACTTATCACGTGACTGGAATCAACATGGCGCCGCCCACGCTTTTCCTTTGCCCACGTGTTTCCGGCAGCCAAGATGGCGGCAGCGGCTAGCCCGGCATCCCTGGAGTCGGCCCCCCGAATCTTGCGGCTGGTGGCCGAGTGCAGCCGCTCCAGAGCTCGGGCGGGCGAGCTGCGGCTGCCGCACGGGACGGTGGCCACTCCAGTCTTCATGCCAGTGGGCACACAGGCCACCATGAAGGGCATCACGGCCGAACAGCTGGACGCGCTGGGCTGCCGCATCTGTCTGGGCAACACCTACCACCTGGGTCTGAGGCCGGTGGGTGGGCTCTGCCCGGGCGGGGCGGCGGCAGAGGGTGGGGACACCTGGGCCAAGCCCCAAGCCCGGGCACGGCTCCAGAAGTCAATCAACAAATGCATATTGAGCGTCCTTCCTGGCCCAGGCCTTGTGCTGGCCGTGAGGGAACCGAGAGGAGAGAAGCCAGACTGTCCTGCACCCCGACACGGGCCCCCAGTACCGCGCTCACCCCTAACCTAACCTGACCCCTTATTCCCAGAAGCGTAGCGAGGGGGGCGCAAGTCCAAGGGGGCGGCGGACGAGGCGTAAGATGACATTCAAGGCGCCACAAATATGAAAGGTGCCTGGCTGAGGCAGCCGGACAAGAAAGGGGTGGGCCGTTTCTGCTGACTCGTCGCCCATATCAAAGTCTATTCATCTTGACAAGGGGGAGGGCGCTTCATTAGGGGGGCGCAACTTAGAGAATGCCTCTGGGTGCTCGTTACCCTCGCTACGCCCCTACTTCTTTCACCATTCAGGGCCCAGAGCTGATCCAGAAAGCCCATGGTCTCCACGGCTTCATGAACTGGTCTCACAACCTGTTGACGGTGAGGTGGGGTCTGGGTCGGGTCCGAGGGCCCTCCTCGAGGGTGGGGCTCTCCCTTCGCCCCCCGCTGACAGCCCTGCGGTGGGTTTCCTCAAGGACAGCGGCGGCTTCCAGATGGTGTCCCTGGTGTCCCTGTCTGAGGTGACCGAGGAGGGCGTCCGATTTCGCTCCCCCTACGACGGCGCCGAGACCCTCCTGAGCCCGGAGAAGTCCGTGGAGATCCAGAACGCTCTGGGTGAGCGAAAGGCGGGAAGCTGTCCCTTCCTCTGCGAGTCGTGGGTGGGGGTGAGGCCTGCGATGCCCCTAACGTGCTTTGTGGCAATGGACAAGTCACTCTCCCCCTTTCTGAGCTCTAGTTGAGCCACCTCAAATGGGGACAAGAGATAGCACACACTTGGCAGGATCCTTGAGGAGAATAAATGAGGTAGTATGGGTAAATCTCAAAATAGTTTCTGGCAAGTCTCCACTCACTGCCCTCGAGTGGGATCCCACTCATAGCGACCCCTCCTTAGGTTTCGGAGGCGGTATCTCTGTGGAACTAGATTGCCCAATCTTCCTTCCGGGGAGTGGCTGGTGGGTTTGAACCGCCAGCCTTCTGGTTAGCAGTCAAATGCCTTAGGCACCACACTACCACAGCTCTCTTCTGGCATGTAGTAGCTTTCATTATTATTATTGTTATTATTTCTCTTAAATCACGAATCAACTGAACAAATATGTATTGAAATAATGATAACAACAAAAGGAAGTTGGGGAGGCTTTAAGCCCCTTCTGGCTCCATCAGTATCCCCCATTCCTTGATGAAGACAGTTAACATTTTCTCAGTCTTGTAAAGCGCTATGGAAAGACACATTCAGATCTCCCTATCTTCCAACTGCATTGGTGCTTTCAAGCTCCGCCCATACAGAGATTCTGTGGCCTCTGCTCCTGGCTCGTTAGCTGGGTGCTGGCCCTATTCCATGTGTACAGTCCCTGAGAGAAATAGGAATTCCTCTAAATGTCACCATTAGAAAGGAAGAAAAACAAAGTGTATGTAGAGTACACTGTATGTTTTCATTTATACCACCACCAACAACAACAAAAAACAAACTCACTGCCATCTAGTTGATTCCAACTCATAGTGACCTCCTTTGGGTTTCTGAGGCTTTTGGAAGTAGATTGCTCAGTCTTCCTACCATGGAATGGCTGGTGGGTTTGAACCACCAACCCTCTGGTTAACAGTCAAATGCCTTAGGCACTATGCCACCAGAGTTCCTTATACCAACAATAGGAAGGCACATATATGATTTATTTGCATAAAAGATGTCTGGAAAGAAACACAAGAAATGGAATATAGGTTCCCTGTGGTCAGGGGAATTGGAGGGCTGGTAGACCAGTGTGTGGTAATGTTTAAAACTTTTCTTTTTAATTGGGGTATAATTGACAATAATCTGAACTCCCACCCCCCCCACTTGTTTCCTGCTGGATTTTTTTTTTTTTTTAAAGTTTTACTTATTTTGTTGTTGAGAGGTCAGCAGTTTGAACCCATGAGGTGCTCCATGGGAAAAAGATAAGGCAATCAGCTTCCGTAAAGACTGACAGCCTTGGAAACCCTATGGGGCAGTTCTGCTCTGTCCTCTAGGGGTACTGTGAGTCGGAATTGACTCTAAGGCACTGGGTTAGGGTTTTTTGGTTATTCAAAATGTATATAATTCAGTGGTTTTTATGATATCCACAGAGTTTTGCAACCATCACCACAATGTAATTTTCAGAACATTTTCATCACCCTCAAAAGAAACTCTCTACCCATTTTCAGTCATTCCCTAGTCCCCTCACACCTCTAGCCCTAACCACTAATCATTGCCACCTAGACTTCATGAATTGGTCCCACAACCTGTTTATGGTGAAGTGTATCTCTACAGAGTTGCTTATTTAGACATCTCATATACATGGAGTTTATATGAGTTTTTATATACTGATTTTGGTCACTTAGTATAATGTTTTCAGGGTTTGTCTGTGTTTATTCCTTTTTGTTATTGCTGAATAACATTACATTGAATAGCTATTTCATTGATTTCTGCTCTTCCATTATTATTTTTTTCTTTCTGGTTATTTTGGGTTTGCTTTGCTATTCTTTCCTATCTTTTTAAACTCTTTAGGTCATCTGAATGATTTTGAAGCGTTTCCTAGATACTGTATCATTTCAGCTATAATTATTTCAGCTTGTATCTCTAAACATAAGGAATCAGGTTGTTTTTTCTTTAAAAAAAAAGAAAAGAAAAGAAAAATATAACCACAATATCACCATCCCACATAAAAACAGTTAACAATAAACCCTACTATCAAATATCTGGCCAGTGTTTACATTGGCAGTTGTTTCATAAGTGTCTTGTTCTTTTTTTTTTCTTACAGTTTATTTATTTTAGGATCCAAATAACATCTGGAGGGCTCTTAAATCTGTTTGTGTGTGTGTGTGTGTGTAAAGGCACTCTGGTGGCATAGTGCCTAAGGCACTTGACTGGTAATCAGAAGGTTGGTGGTTCAAACCTACCAGCTGCCCCATGGAAGGAAGACAGGGTAATCTGCTTCTATAAAGATTTACTGGCTCAGAAACCCAATGGGAGGTCACTAAGAGTCAGAATTGACTTGATGACAGTAAGTTTTGTTTTTTTTGTGTGTATACATATGTATATCTATTTATCTCTAAGGAGCTCTGGTAGCACAGTGCCTCAGGCATCTGACTCCTACCCAGAAGGTTGGTGGTTCAAACCCAACAGCCACTCTGCGAAAGGAGGACTGGGCAATCTACTTCCTTAAAGATTTACCACCTCAGAAACCCAGTGGTGGTCGCTATGAGTCGGAACCGACTTGATGGTGGTGGGTTTTTTTTTTTTTTTTTTTGTGGAGCTCTGGTGGCTCAGTGGTTAAAGCATTGTGTTGCTAACTAAAAGGTTGTCAGTTCAAACCCACCAACTGCTCCATGGGAGAAAAATGAGGCAGTCTGCCTTTGTAAAGATTGACAGCCTTAGATACCCTGTGGGGCAGTTCTGCTCTAGGATTGCTATGAGTTAGAAATGCCTCGATGGCCCTGGGTTTGGAGTTTTGGTTAATATAGGTTCTCCCTCTACCTCCTCTTCACTCCCCCCACCTCAATTTGCTATTTGAAGAAACTGGTTCCTTTGTCCTGTAGTGTTTCACATGGTGTGAATTTTGTTGATTGCCTCCTTTTTTGTCCTTTAACAGGTTGCTTCTACCCTCTGACTTGCATCTAGCTTGGTAGTTAGATCTAGAGGTTTGAGCTGGTTTCAGCAGCACAGCTATGCAGGAGTCTGAAGGTACTTGGCGTGTATTTCCATCAGAGGGAGCTTAATGTCAGCCTCATGGCTCTCCCTCTCTCTTTTCTGAAAATAATTTACTTTGTTGCTGTTGAGAATATACATAGCAGAGCATCCCCCAGTTCAACCATTTCTCTGTGTACAATTCAGTGACAACCATTCTTGCCCTCCTTTTCTGAATTGTCGCTCCCCCATGAACATAAACTCAGTGTCCCCTAAGGTTCCTATCTAATCTTTCGAATTGCTGTTGTCAGTTTGATCCCATATAGATAAGATTTTAGAAGAGTACCATGCTCTAGGCAGACATTCTTTGCAAGTTAAGCTAAACTATTACTTGGTTTCAAGAGGCCTTCAGGGGATATTTTTGGTTTAAGGTTTAGAGATTATCTCATTGCAGTGATTTCGGGTTTCATCCAGCCTGCATGGCTCTGGAAAGTCTGGATTCCATGAGAATTTGGAATTTTATACTGCATTTTCCCCCTTTACCTTCACGTCTCTCTTAATGAGCCATTCATGTGCGTTCCCTGGGTCCATTTACGTGTTCCCTTACGTCATTACCAAACCCTAAGCAGTTGCTGTGGAGTCGATTCCGACTCTTGGTGACCAATGCCATGTGTGTCAGAGCAGAGCTATGGTACACAGGGTTTTCAGTGGCCAGTTTTATCACTGTATATCACACAAGTCCTCAAGTCCCTGATCTGAAGTTGTGGGGCCAGAGGTATGTCAAACTTCAAGATATTCAGATTTTAGAAAGATACTGCAGGTACTACTTGGTACTCAGCCCTAGGGATTGGCCTCAGTCCTAAGGCAGTCACCTGCCACACACAATGCTGTCGGTTTGAGCCCGCCAGAGAGCCGGGCCATCTCTAGGAGCTCGTTAAGTGTAGTGCCTAAGACACTTGATTGCTAACCAGAGGGTTGGCAGTTCAAACCCACCAGCCACTCCTCGGAAGGAAGATGGGGCAATCTACTTCGTAGTGATACTGCCTCGGAAACACAAGGAGGGGTTGCTATGAGTCGGGGCCGACTTGATGGCACATGACAACAACAACAACAACACTTGGTACTCAGCACCATGTGGTAAAGCACATTACTCATCAGGCATTAAAATTCACCAATGTTCATCCTAACTTGCATGAGGGAAAGCTCATAACCATCATGGGTTTTACTGCCAAATGAATATGCCATAAGCATAGGAAAAAGCCTTTGCTTGGAGAAGCTTCTGGATTTCGGTACTGTAGGAAAGGAACATTCCATTAAAGGGTGGGCCACGGGTTGTTAAACCAGAGCCCTGTTGCCACACACGCCAGTTCCCAGCCTTGGTGTTGCCACACAGTGATGAATCGCTTTGTACACATGCTTTTTGCCCTGGAAGGGTCCATTTAGAGATGTGGGATTTTGTTCTACGTGTCAGGGCAGGATTAGATTAGATATGCCTCCAGCCGGAGGCAAGAATAGATGGGCATTTGCAAAAGCTCCCTCTGGCTGTGTGTGAACAGATTGGGAGGACCTGAGTAGGAGTCCGGAAGGAAGATTGGGCCATCTACTTGTGATCTACTAGTGATACCGCCTCGGCAACCCGAGGAGGGGTCGCTATGAGTCGGGTCCGACTCCACAGCAAATAACAACAACAACAACGAGTATGAGTCGAAATCAACTGGATGGCAGTGGATTTGGAAGCAGGAGTCAGCAACAGCTGGGGATGGGGTCCTGGGGTCTTAATCCTCACAGGAGATGGTACCTCCCCAGTGACGTGACTCTGTCTGAACCCCCAGGCTCAGACATCATCATGCAGCTGGACGACGTAGTCAGTAGCACTGTGACGGGGCCACGTGTGGAGGAGGCAATGTACAGGTGTGTGTGCATGCATGTGTGCACGCACATGTACGTGCATATGTGCCGGGGAGGGGGCCCTGGTTCTGTGGCCATGTCTCCCTTCCCTCACCAGGCCCCTGGGGCCCGTGACTGGAGTCCTCTTGCAGGTCAATCCGTTGGCTGGACCGGTGCATTGCAGCTCATCAGCGGCCGGACAAGCAAAACCTCTTTGCCATCATTCAGGGTGGGCTGGATGCAGATCTCCGGGCTACCTGCCTTGAAGGTAAAGCCGCGTGCTGGCAGGACCAGGGCTTGTCCTTCACTGGGGCCTCAATGAGGCTGGCACTCAGCAGTGCTCAGCCAGTGGTGGTTATGGGCAAAAGGGCATTCCAGCCAGAGACAAGGTCCCGAGGCAGCCAGGCATACAACATATTGAAATAATATGTCAGTTGCTGACAGTTTGTGGGCACTCACCAGGTACCCAATTGACCCATGGAGTCCTCACCATTCTGTAATATGAGGGACCGATTGCCAAGCTTCCAAGTTTATAGGTGGAGAAACTGAGGCACCAAGCTGTTACGTCACTCACTCTGTACCACATAGCTTGGATGTTGCAGAGCTGGGATGTGGTCTCAGGCCTTCAGGCTTCAGAATGCAAAGCATTGACTGCTCTACTGTGCTGCTCCCCTCTGGGAGGACACACAGGGTCACGATTGAGGGGCTGGGCCAGGGGCATTGTGCCAACAGCAGGGGCCCTGGGACACCACAAGACACTGGGGAACCATGGAGAGTGGCTGAGCAGGAGAGTGACAAGAAGCAAGGAGCGTGATAGAGAAACAACACAGACATGATAATAGGTGTGGTCTAACTGGTGCTTACGTTGTGTTTGGCACTGTTCTCAATGCTTGTGTGTATTTCATCCTTGCAACTGTATGATACATGTAGAGTTTCCATGTTACAGATGAGGAAACAGGACTATAGCACTGACTTGGCATTATCCCCCGGCAGATGAACAGGTTCAAGGTTGGAACCCAGATTTGACCACTGACAAAGCTGGTGTTCTTAGAAAATAAGGACACAGGAGGCCCAGCATGGGGGCTGGAGTGGTTGCCCAGGGTGATGAGGAGGCTGGAAGCTAGGCTGTGGCCGTGAAGGTGAAGGGAGGCACAGATAGGGACTCGGGCCATGAGGTGTTGTGGGCAAGACTCTGGACTCTGAGTCCCTCAGGCTCAGTTCCAACTCCTGATCGGCTTCGTGGCGGCAGGGCCTTGGCCCAGTGGCTTTGCCTCTTTGAGCCTCATTTTCATCCTCTGTAAAATGGGAAAATACTCCCAAAGTCATGGGGTCGAAGTGAGGATGAAGTGCATTGGAAGTGTCCCTCCTGTGCCCGTCATCAGCCTGGTTATTGAGAGTGTCCTTGTCACCATCCCTCTTTGTCCTCCAGTCCTGCCCCCTCCCCCTGCCCCCAGCCTGATGCAGTTGCTTCTAATCTTTAAACCAACACCCACAGTCAGAGCCATTTCAGGTCAGGGCACCAGTACCTGCAGGGGTACGTGTAAACAGAAACCAAAGTTTCAGGAAGCATGTCCTTTCACATCCTTCCTGGCATTTTGTTAAGCAGCCCTGCTGGTCTCTCCCAGTCAAAGTCATTTCTCTTCCACCTGCGCTTTGACAGCCTAGTGGCCCTTCTCAGAGTGCTCCCAGTTCACCTACACCAGCACCACCTATTGGTGGGGCTGCTGGTAGGATGGGCCTCCTGGGCTCTCTGCCATGATTGGCCCCGGTCGGGGTGAGGGAAGGGGAAGGCTTGGGAACCTTCATTTAACCATCCCCAGCTGCTTCAGCTGCTCACTCTAGCTGCAAAGCCCAGCCCCAGACAGCACCTGCTTTGTTGATTGCTGTGACCTCCCCCAGATTGGCAGCTGGGGCCCCAGACGAGCCTGGGCTTTGAGGCCAGACCTGGGTTCCAATCCCCCTGCTGGCATAAGTGGTGTGAGCTCTGTGCGCTCTCATTCCCTTATCTGTTGAAGGAGCTCAGCATCAGGGCCGTTTCCAAGCCCCTTCCTTCGCTCACTTCTAAAATCCAAACAGTTCTGAAGTCTGCAGTTCACATGGTGACTAAACTGGACCTGGGTCAGTATTTATCCCACATGTTCCGAGCCTCCACCCCTTTTATCACAGAAAAGTTACAGCGATTGATGACAGGTTATTACTCAGCATATAGGATGCTCACTGTTCTAAAATCCAGAAAGCTTAGAATTCCGAAACATGTCTGGCTCCAAAGCTTTCAGTTAAGGGGTTGTGGGTCCGTGTCAGACTCCTGAGCATTGAAGGACAGGGTCTCACGTGCAGCAGGCGCTCAGTGACTGGTAGCCAAGGTCCCTAGTAGATTGCCAGACACTCACACAGACACTTTTTCTTTTTCTTCCTGAGGGACTGGCTGTCTCTGCAGGGGCTACCTGCGGGTGGGAGGTGGTTTCCTGTTGCCTGGCTGCCCTTCACCCTGTCCTATGCCCCTAGAGATGACCAAGAGGGATGTGCCGGGCTTTGCCATCGGGGGCCTGAGCGGGGGTGAGAGCAAGGGCCAGTTCTGGAGGATGGTGGCACTGAGCACTTCGCGGCTGCCTAAGGACAAGCCCCGATACCTGATGGGGGTCGGGTATGTGGGGGAGAGAGGAGACAGGGTCCCACTTGTGTGAGTGGATTACTGGGGGCTACGGGGGAAGGACATAGCCCTGGGTGGGGAGAAGGAGGACTAAGAAGTATATGGCCCTCCCTAGGGGTAGTTCTTAGGGAATCTGGCCCAGGCCCGGGGAGTGTGAGGGTGGGGAGGAAGCCCACACCAAGGGTTTGAGGTTCACTGCCCCCCTCCTCCCATGGCTTCACCCGCAGCTATGCCACTGATCTGGTGGTCTGCGTAGCTCTCGGATGTGACATGTTCGACTGCGTCTTCCCCACGCGGACGGCGGTGAGGCCCTGGGTAGGGGGCAGACAAGGGTGGTGCCAAGGAGGGGGTGAGGGCGGGGAGGGTGAAGACCTGGGTGACCCCCCCATCCCTGCTTTCTCTCCTCCCCTAGCGCTTTGGCTCTGCCCTGGTGCCCACTGGGAGCCTGCAGCTGAAGAAGAAGCAATATGAGAAGGATTTTGGCCCCATAGACCCTCAGTGCACCTGCCCCACCTGCCAGAAGTAGGCGCGGCCTGGGGGCCAGGGGAGGACCTGGTCAGGGGCAGGACCCAGCGTTGCTGACCCTGAGCCCTGTACCACAGGCACAGCCGAGCCTTCCTGCATGCGCTGCTGCACAGCGACAACACTGCTGCCCTGCACCACCTCACTGTCCACAACATTGCCTACCAGGTGGGCCTGCGGCTGGGCGGGTGATGGGGTCTGCGTGGCCTCTGGCCTCCCGCGGCTGACGATGGCACCCCCCTCCCTGCAGCTGCAACTGATGAGTGCCGTGCGCACCAGCATTGTAGAGAAGCGCTTCCCTGACTTTGTGCAGGACTTCATGGACACCATGTATGGGGACCCCACCCTCTACCCTCCCTGGGCCACTGAAGCCCTGGCATCTGTGGGAATCACCCTGGGGTGACCTCACTGGGGTGCTCCTGTCTTTGGGGGAGGCAGAAGGGGCTGGAAGATATTGAAGGTTTGTTTTTTTATTCTAACATCATGCCTCTGTGTCGTCTTTGGGAAGAATCCTGTCTTGGTCCCCTTGTTGGTCTGAGTGTCACTGTGACAGACATTCACCAATCCCACTGATCATAACATCAAGTAACCATAACAGCTGCTGGTATCTGGAAACTACATGGCACAGGCCAGCATGAAGGGAGCTGTGGTCTAGGCCTCCCGGGTACCCTGGAGAGGGGCACTTTTGTCCTCCTTTTTACGTGCAAGGAAACTGAGGCCTACAAAGGGGAAGTACCTTGTCCAGGATCGTACATTAAGGGAGTGGCAAACTCAGGATTTGAACTTGGGCAGTTCATGCAGCACAAGTTCTTAGCACTGCCTCCTGGACTAATTCCTGTTGCTGTCGAGTTGTCCCTGACTCACTGCAAACTCATGGGATGGAGCAGATCTGCCCCACATGGTTTCCAAGGCTTGAAGCAAGCAGACTGCCACATCTTTCTCCCGTGGAACGGCTGGTGGGTTTGAACTGCTGACCTTTTGGTTCACATCTGAGCACTTAACCACTGTGCCACTGGGGTGCCCTTAAAAACTTGATCGCTGTCAATTCAATTTTGTAGCTGAGTATAAGCCATTTGTACCACCCTGGGACCTGACTGTCTATACTTGGCTTAATCTCCCTCTCAGTCAACACAGCGATGATAATAAGTGTGGTCTAGCCAGAGCTTACGTTGTATTGGCATGCTTCTCAATGCTTGCCATGTGTATTTCATTCTTGCAATTTTATGCTGTATGTAGAGTTTCACTCCTTTTTACAGGAGAGGAAACGGGATCAGAGCAATCAAGTCATTTGATCATTATTACCCAGCAAATACACAGGTCCAGGATTCTAACTCACGTATGAGCAATTACAAAGCCAGTGTTCTTAGAAAATAAGTTTTTTTTTTTTTTTTTCAATTGAAAAAATAACGTGCATGATCAACCATTGAAACAGCACAAAAAGTGCAACTACTTTGGTCAGTTTGTGTATCCCTCCATTTTCCATGTACATGTATTTCCTCATTTATGTTAGTATCCTTTACATGCATTTCTGTACCTTGCTTTTTTTTCCCCCTCGTAGTCCAACCAGACTCATAGGGACCCCTCCTTGAGTTTCCGAGGCAGTATCACTACAGAAGTAGATTGCCCAACCTTCCTTCCGAGTAGTTTATCTTAGAAGATGTTAAAATTGTTTACATGCCAGCTTCCCCAGTCTTTTTTATGGCAGCTGCTGTCTTATTGCCCTTATCTAACCAGCCTCTGGGAGCTCTGGTAGCATAATGCCTAAGGCACTTGACTGCTAACCAGAAAGCTGGTGGTTCAAACCCACCAGCTCCTCCTCGGAAGGAAGGTTGGGCAATCTACTTCCGCAGTGATACTGCCTCAGAAACCCAAGGAGGGGTCGCCATGAGTTGGGTCTGACTCTATGGCACATGACAACACAACAACCAGCCTCTGTGGATGGACATTTAGGGTATTTCCAGATTTTTGCAATTCTAGTCAAGGTTTCAATCCCTAACCTTGTTGGTAGCCTTTTTGCCATTTTCTGGAGAGTTGGGGTTTTGCTTCACGCTCTGTCATCTTCCCACCTTGGCTCTTCATCCCCCTCGTTAGCGCTCCCACTCCCCTTGAAATGCTTCTGCCTCCCCATTGGGTTCCCTGCTCTCTGGCCCATCCCAGAGGGATCAAATGACGTATTAAAATCCTCCCACCCATCTCTGGTATCTGTTCCAAGAGGTCTAACAATATCCCCAACTCTGCCTGCAAAATAGCGTGTCTTCATGGGGAGATACACGTTTCATTGGGTTTCTGAATGATCCATGATGCACTAAAGTTGAACGTAACATAGGAAGAACGTTAAAGCGTAAATCGCATCATCGCGGGCCAGGAGCAGAAGATACTCTTAGGGGAGGGCACAGTATTTACAAAGGCATGGAATATGACTTTATAGGGATGGATTGCCATTCGCTAGGAGTATTAACAACGTCTGACTCCCACTCCTCTTCAAATTGCATTGCAACCCGCGCGGAGAGCAGGTTTGCCAGCCGAGTGCCAAGATGCATTCTGGGACTTGTAGTTTTTTCTATTATGTGCCCGAGGAGTTGGTTCCGACTCAGCGATCCTATGTACAACAGAACGCAACAGTCCTGCGCTATGCTATGTTTGACTCCATCGTTGCAGCCTCTTGTATCAATCCATTTCACTGAGGGTCTAGTTTTCTCTAGAGCTCTGAAACTCAGAACTGAGTGACGGTTACTACCATGTCCCACGACTAGGGGTCGCGTTTGCGGGAGTGCTACTTTCTATTCTAGAAGACTGCCTAATAGGAAGCCAACAATAACAAGTAAGAACGAGTTACTTTGATTGACAGATATAGGTCTCAATCAGAATCAGAATTCGAATGTTAAAGCCCCCCTCTTCTGCTTCGTTGGCTGAAGGAGCGGAGTGATATTTAAATAAACCAATGGAAAATTTTTAGGAACTATTGGGCTGCTAACTAAAAGGTCTGCGGTTCGAACCCGTCCGCCGCTCCGCAGGAGAAAGGTGAGGCAGTCTACTTCTGTAAATATTTACGGGCTTGGAAAGCCTATGGGGCATTCTATTCTGTCCTACTCCACGGCAGTAAGTTTGGCTTTTGTTTTTCTGGTATTCTGTCCTATAGCGTCGCTGTGGGCTGGAATCAAGTCGATTGCAGTGGGTTTGGCTTTTTGGTAGGTAGCGTGAAGTGACAAACCGGTGTCTAGGAATCCATCATTGGTAGCTTTGTTGACTGGCGGCTCTTCCTGCCAATAAAATGTCGGACTGCCCAATGGGCGGAGCCAATATGCATTTTCCTGAAACACCGCCTCCTGGCCTTGACAACTTAGTTCCCGCCACTATTGGTTCTTGCATAACAACGACAGTTTTTGCGTCCAATGAGTCTACGAGAAGCTCCCCAGGGGGAGGCTTAACTCAGCCTTAAATTCGTGCCTCGCTTCTATTGCTTCAGGTGCACGACTGGCAGCCAGGCTGACCAATCAAGGGTGGCGCGACGGCTTTGAGTGCAGCCCGGGGGCCCGGGCGGGAGGTCGCTCCGGTCGGGTGTTGCCTGAGAACCGGATGAGGCGGCGACCGTGAGGCCGAGCCGGGAGTGGAGCGTCGCGCCGAGGCCCGGCGGGGAGCAACGGCCGCGGACGCCGCGGGGCCGTGTCGTTGAGTCGGGGGCAGGCGGAGAGCGCGGGGCGCTCCGGCCGGGGCGGCCGGCGCCATGGGCAACCGCGGGATGGAAGAGCTGATCCCGCTGGTCAACAAGCTGCAGGACGCCTTTAGCTCCATTGGCCAGAGTTGCCACCTGGATCTGCCGCAGATCGCCGTGGTGGGCGGCCAGAGCGCCGGCAAGAGCTCGGTGCTAGAGAACTTCGTGGGCCGGTGAGCGAGCGCCGCGGAGACGGCGGGCGGGCGGCGGCCTAGGGCGCGGAGTGCGGCCCGGGAATGGCGCGCCCTGCGCCTCCGGCGTAACTGCGGCGCTTGCGTGCCCTCGACGGGGACGGGGACAGGGAGGCGGGCCCTGTGGGACGCCCTGGGCAGAGGGCTCCCTGCAGGGGTAGGTAGCCCGCGCAGGGCCCAGGTGCGTTCCTACAGGCTGGTAGGCGTGGGGCAGGAGGTGCCGTGGACTCCCGCTGTCTATCTCGTCCCCAGCCTTCGCGGCTAAACTCTGCCATTTGGTGCCTTTGGGTCGAAACAGATCTTCCTCTTCTCTTCTGTTTGTATGTCCGTCTGTTATGGGCGAACCTGCTATCTCGATAACTACTGGGGCAACCCCTACAGTCTGGCTGGCAGTTCATTTATCTAGGGCAGCCAGTTCTGGCTGGCTGGCTGTCTCTGGCCTGGACAGACCTCCCTTCCACCATTTGGCTGTCCATCTGTCCACTCCCACGGGCAGTCCCCTGCTGACTGGCTAGCTGTCCAGGATGACCTTTGCTATCTGGCTGCCTATCCGTGCCCCTCACAGATGCTGGCACTTACCCATCCCTTTGTTGTTGGGTTACTGTAGGTGGCCTCCACCATTTGACTGGCTGGTTGGACCCCTGTTATCCCACTCTCCTGGGCTGACACTTCAGTTTGTCCCTGGAAAACCCTGGCTCCTTTCTTCCAAACCCTGGCTTTCTCTCTTCCCTTCTATCTATCCTGGTGGACCTGATGTCTGTCCATCTCCTGGTCTGACCGCCACAGCCCATCAGTTCCTAGCTTTTCATCTAACCCCTCTGGCAAGGGATGGGGAGGGGTGGTAGGGGAGAAGAGAACAGAAGGATGAGGCTTGAATCTGTTCTACTGTCAACTGGGAGTAGAACCTGGGGGACTTTCTCCAGAATTCGTTCCTAGCCCCATCAGGATGTTCTGAGGCCCTAAAACACAGGGGCCAGTCTCCAAGCTAAAGCCTACAACTTGGGGGTGCTCCTTGGACACTGGGAAGTAGCTTCTTGTCTCATTAGGCCTTAGTGGCAAGACCTGAGACATAGGTCCCTGTGGGCTGCCCTGAAGAAGCCTCATGTGCCCATCTGACCAGTGGGCAGACTCTATTCTCTAGGGTTTTTCCAGGATTCAGGAAGGTAATGAATGAGACCAGGCCCTACAGCCACTGAGGAATGCTGGTTCTTATTTCTCCTTCCCCCATCGCTTGTCCTTCCTCCTTCCTAGTCACTTCTCCATTCCAGAAGTGATTCCATTTGTGGCTGTGTGACTACCAATGGTAACATCATCATCCTTGTTATTATTTTTGTTGCTGTTATCAGTATTAAGGGGTAACGTTCCTGAGCAGACCTCAGCTGAGTTCTTGCCTTGTTTAATGTCTTGAATCCCAGGGTGAATGAGTGGGGTGGTTTTGTTATCATCCCAACCTTGGAGATGAGCAGGGAGGCTCCGAAAGCGCAAGGCCACCAGGCTGGCGGGCAGCAGAGCCCGAATGGGCTCCCAGACCTGCTGTTGTTGTCTTTGCAAAGGCCTGGGGTTGTGCTCCCGGCTGTATGAGTTTCCTCCTGCGCTGCACTGCCCCTGGTGCGTCGCCCTCTGTCCAGTGGGTGGAAGGGTGTGGGCTTGGGCTCAGCCAGGCTGGTCTGTGGGCCTCTCTGTGGCTGTCTTCCGCCTGCCTGCCCAGCCTCTGGTAGATGTCCCTGAAGCTCTCTCTGTTCCATTTGCTTTGTGACCTAGTACAGATTGTTTGACCTGGGACTCAGTTCCCCCTCCTGAAAATGGTCCCTTGACAAGGCTGTTACAAGGATGCAGTGACATGTTGAAAGTGCCTGACAGGGCTGTTAATCACTGGGGTAGTTCCTTTCTGAATGACAACATAAGCTAATAAGAAGTAAGTGCTTTCAAGTGGAATTCCCTGATGCTTCGTGAAGGTAGTAGTGTTATGACCTCCATTTTACAGAGCAGGAGACTGAGGCTCAAAGAGCTGGGCCTTCTTGTTCAAGAGCTGTAGCTTGGCGACCTGAATCCCTCTTCCCTCTCCTGAATCCCTCTTCCCTCCCCTGAATCTCTCCTGCTTTCTCTGGTGATTGGTGGCTGGCTCCTGTGGCAGCTGCCTCCCAGAGCCCTGCAATATATATAGACTTTTTTTTTTCTTTTTAAATTTGTTAGATTTCTTGACTTCCTACTTCCTCCCTGTAGTTACCTCTTCCCTGTGTCCTTCTTTCCTATGGATTCCTGCCCCCTGAGCTATCTCCCTGTGCAAATACTGCCCTTCTGTTCTCCCATGATTGGTTATTCTAAGAAGTGTATCTACCTGATGTAAATGTTCACCCCATATGCCTGTCTATTGTATGACTGGAAGCCCCGAGAGTGAGTTGATTTCTAGACCTGAACGGTAACTAGGAGCCATAGTCTCGGGGGTCTCACCAGACTCTGTCAGACCAGTAAAACTGGTCTTTTTTGTGATTTTGAGTTTTGTTCTACATTGTTCTCCCACTCTATCCAGGGTCTGGGGCAGAGGATCCTTTTTGTGAATTTAGCCAAACTGTAACACCTCTCAGAGCCTCAGTTTCCTGTCCTGCGCAGTGGACGCAGCCAGTAGACTGCCCTGACTGGTTTCAGGGAATAAGCAAGACAGGGTTTGTCAGCGGCCTGTGTCCAGACCAGGGACCTGGGGTCAACATGGCTTGCTGTGTCCTCAACTCCTCCCAGTGGCTTGTCTAAGAATGTGGCTACTCTGGGTGGGAGTGGCCCAGTTGGCTCCACTGCAGATGGGCGGTTCCAGGATCTGAGGCCTGCCCACTGGGCCCTTTCTTTCACCTGTGTGGTGTTTACAAAGTTTTGCCAACATTTGAAAATTAGATTTCACATCAAAATCCGATGTTAGGGGTGCTAGAGAAAAGCCTTCAGTGCTCCAGAGTTCAGTGGCATAGTTTGCAGGCCTGGCCCCAAGGCCTTGCTCCACCATGTTTGGCTGCATGACTTGGGCCAGGTGTACTCGGCTTTTTGGGCTCCAGGTTCTTTTCCTGTACACTGGGGGAGATAACTGGACCTTCCGTGGGGGATGAGGTGATGTGTTTTGAGTTGATAGAGGGCTCTAGTATTGAGGAAGAGTGTTGAGGAAGGGCCTTGTGCCCATGCTGTTGTTGTTATCATCATTGTGACCAGGCCCTGCTGGGCCTCTGTCCCACTGGGTACCAGCTACCTAGATCTCAGAACCCGCAGTCTCTGCCCCCAGCAGACTATGAGTGGCTGCTTGAGCTGCCACAGTCCCCACCACTCCCTAGTGCTCACCCAGGCTCATTTCATGTGTGCCTGGAGGCTCTTGGCCCTGGAATCCTTGAGACCCTTGGCCTGTCTACACTGCACCAGCAGATAGACCTGTGCCATAGGGTGAAGGGAGGTCATGGCTTCCTCTAGGTGCTTATCATTTAGCCCTTGGAGCTGGGAGGGGGCAGGTGGGAGGAGCTTGGGAGGGAATTTCTTCCCTAGGAGAAGAGCAGGAGCAGGCCTAGGTTGAGGCCTTTAGCCCCGAGTCTCACAGGCCCGGGTTTGATCCTGTGAAGCTTACCTCACTGAGCCTCAGTTTCATCAGTTAGGAAATGGGACTGTTAATAGCATCTCCTCACAGGTCCCTGTCAGTACAGGTATGCGTTGCTTAATGTCCACCACACCGTCTGTGAGATAGGACATTAGGTGATGTGGACGTTATGTAAACACCATGTTATGTACAGGCAGTCCCCATTCAATCAGTAGTTAAATCTGCGTAAAGCCTGTTACATTAAAATCTTATGGAAGACCCGCAGGGCAAGCCTGAGAGCTGTATCCACTGGATACCGGAGGCCTACTGCCAGGTGTGTAGCTGCACCAGGACTTTACGCATGTCTGGGACACGGGTGGGGATGACCGGGTGGGGATAACCGCAGGGACTGGGTGGAGAGCAGGTTGAAGGTTCTGGGAGCATGGCTGGTGGGGTCTGCCACCACCCTGTCTGTACCTGGTCAGGTGTAGTTGTTGTGGTTGCCCTCACAGGCGCTGTACAGAGCTGAGAGCCTCCAAGTGCCCCAGGCCCTGCATGCTCTGCAGGCAGGCAGCACGTTGCCCCTGTGCCTGGAGTGAAAGGCTGCAGAGATGCTGGGCAGGTGAATGAAGCCTGGGGATTGGGATGTGCCCTGGGGCTCTGCTGCTCATTCACTCTGTGGGTTTAGGGTCTATAAAACCATTGTTGTTGTTATGTGTCAGACCGACTCAAAGGACCCCTCCTTGGGTTTCCGATTGCCCCATCTTCCTTCTGAGGAGTGACTGGTGGGTTTGAACTGCCAGCCTTCTGGTTAGCAGTCAAATGCCTTAGGTACTACGCCACCAGAGCTCCCTTAAAACCGTTAGGGAGACATAATAAACAAGCTTTCCCCTTTAAAAAAAAAAAAAAAGTGGGACCACAGACTTATATGTGGTGGAACATGTATCTTTTGTCATCTTTAAAATGGGATCTGCAATACTGCCTCCCTGGTAGAGGTGAGTGAGGGTTAAGTGAGAGTGCATTTGAGGGCTTGGGGCAGTATCTGGCATGGAAAAAGGGCTTAAAATTAGACTCCGACTCATGGTGGCCCCACATGTGTCAGAGTAGAACTGCTCCGTCTGGTTTTCAAGGACTGATTTTTTGGAAGTAGATTGCCAGGCTGTTCTTCCAAGGGGTTTCTGGGTGGGCTGAAATGGCCAGCCTTTAGTTGGCAGCACCCATTTTACAGATAGCAGTCAGTTATCTCCCTATTTTATAGAAGATGAAGCTGAGGCCCAAGAAGCCCCCTTGACCAAAGTTGTGCAGCCAGGCCTACGCACCACACCACTAAACTCTGCTGGCTGTTCTCGACCAGAACACAACAAAACAAAAAAAACAGACTCACTGCCATCGAGTCGATCCCGACTCATAGCGACCCCTCCTTGGGTTTCTGAGGTGG